GAATACGGGTAGTTAAATTAGTCTACAATAATCTGGTACATTTAGATGACTTTTGGATATAGCAGAAATAAAAATAAGAGAAAAATAAACTGTCTTAACAAATAATTAATATTTTTAGGTCTGATAGAAGATATTTGTCAAGAGAATAATTTTACTTTTAAATAATAAATGAAGTAATATAATTTAAATAATAAAAGATTAAATTTTGTAATATACTGTACAATATTTCAATTGCGTTTTAATTATTAGTTTAATTGACTAATGATTTAAATTAATTTTTTCTGGTTTCTTACATTACATCCTATATAAATGTATTTTTTCTGATTCTTATTATAAGAGAAATTCTTAAAAAAGAGACACTTTTATTTGGATTTAATTTAATTTTCAGGAGATGTAGTAATAACTTATTCTACAACCTTAATTTTGTCCATTAAAGTTCTTAAACCACGATAAGGACAGTCAATTTGGATAATCTTATTTAGATATGAATTATTCATGGGAAAGTATCTTGACTAGAATTGAATCTGCATTCTTTATATTAACAGACGAGTCGATCAATCAACATTCTGAAAATTTACAGTTTTAAAGATAATATGAAGCTGAGATACATATTAAATACTGAAATACATTATGTAAAGTATAGTTATTAATTCGAGAATTATCGATTATTTCACGTTAAAATAATTAAAAATAAACCAACATATTAAATAATTTATAAATATAACCTTTTACCATCGTAAATAAGTATAATGTTTTTACAATGTTTAGGACAAAAATTACCTTATAATGTTTGTTGTGACAATAAATATCTTGGATTTTACTGACAAATTCGATTTTATCTTTCTACCGAAATGTTCTATAATAAACTAGCAGACCCAGCCACGCGTTGTTGTGGTTCAAAATGTATCTATTATAAATTTATAACACTTCCCCCGTGGAGGGGAATTTTTCGAAAAATTTCTTCTTAGTGTACATTCTCTTGACGTACCCTATTAAAACGCAATCAAAAACGCAAAAACCCGCATCTAAAATAGTATAAATAGAAGCAGAGTTCTTTACCGTAAGCCTTAATCCTAACCATCTCCCTTCAGTGGGGTTGAATTTCGACATGTATATTATATAAAAACACGTGCGTATTCGAATGCAGCGTTGTGTCAAAATTTCAAAGGAATCGGTAGGAACAAACGAACATTACATTTTTATTTATATAGATAGATAGAAGATGATCTGCTTTAGTTCATTTTCACAGAAAAGCAAACTTAGGGCGTCGTACTCGTAGCGCCATCTGTTGGACATAAAAGCCTTAACCCTAGATGATATCATTTAATTTATATGAATGTTTAACGGAATAATATACAGTCTATGTCCACCCTGAAGTTCCATTCTAAATATTAATGAAAGAATTTTTGAAATCGGATGAGTAGTTTCGGAGAATACCTGCTGAAAACAAACTTATTAATTAAACTAATATTAGTATAGATAAAATAAAGCCAAATTATATGCTAATCATTCACTATAATCTTTTCAAATTGTCGTCTACTAATATTTATAGACCTATATTATAGACTATACTTTCGACGAAATTACAAATAGAGTTTTTAATTTATTTGAGGGTTGAATTCTAGAAAGTTTTGTAAACTTCCCGGAATTCAACCCTATATAATAAAACATTCATTTTGTATTTAAATTTTACGTAATGTTCGCGAAATTTTATCCTTTAAATAAATGATAAATACTATAGTTGCATTCCTTGCCAGTTTGATATTAATTAATCCCCACAAATAAGAATAATGGAGCGCACTATTACAATGAATACTTTCAATTTATCAGTTTATAACATAATTCAGGGTTGTGAAAAGTGTTTTCTCTTTATTACTTACACACAACGGATTTTTATAAACGTAAAACATTATTTTGAGAGAGAAAAGAAAAACAAAGCAATCTTGTGGTTTGATAAATCTAACTCAGGTGCGTCCGGTCATAAACCACTTACTACTGAGGAAAACAACAAGTAAACAAGTAAACAGATGGGAGGATGTCATCCACATTCGGGTCAGCACGGACGTAAAAGAAAGGTTCGCGTGCGACCGCCTCTCCGATTGGTCGGAAGTTTGCTGTAAAAATAAATAAATAAATAAACATTTAAATTGGAGAGAAGATCGGAGAAAAAGCTGTAGAGAGACGGCTCGGACTGATAGCACTTGGATCTCAGAACTCGGCAAGCCATCTGAGGATAGGAAGAAAGGACTCTCAGATACGGGTGAGATCTGAGATCAGACCAAAAGTGCAGACAGAGTCTATCCATGGTTGAGAAATTATCAAGGAGACATCCGGTCCCCGATTATTCCAATTTATGCTCGATCGTTAATGTGTCACTCAGTACAGTATGGTGCCGTGATAAACTGTATATAGCCTACTGAATCAAGTTGAGTGTAGAGATGTATTTTCTACGAACCTATACTACATTTCGAACATCTCAAGCCGTGCTTACTCAAGAATCTGTTTGAAGAGCCTGAAACAGAGGAACTTTTACGATTAATATTTTATAGATATTTATGCAAATTATAAACAATTAACAAAACTCACTCAGTAAATAATTAATAGACTAACTACACCTTAACCTGCTGAGAATATTTATTTAAACGTAACTAACGTTTTCGGCCTATTCAATAGGCCATCCTCAGGTTAAATGAGAAAATAACGGTGTCCTAAAATAGAACATATAAGTTGAAATACAAAAATATAATCTATTTTTGTATTTGAATTTATATATTCTATTTTAGAACACCGTTATTTTCTGTACAGTAATGTACAGTACTTTTGAATCGCAAAAATACTTTTTGCGATTCAAAAGTACACATACGCAGCATTAAATCGTTTTAAAATCATGTTATTTAAAATTCACGTTTTTCAAACACGGTGCAATGTACTGTACTACAGAACGAATGACTCATGTTATAATTGTCCTCAGTTTCAGCTTCTCCAAATTTGAACCTAAGTTGATTTTATTCACGTTTTCATTGCTTCCTATCTAAATTTTTCTTTTGTTTCTTCAACACATTGTCTCTGTTTTAAGAGCAAACCTGTTTACGCGTCTAACTTTACTTTTTAATTACTAAAATATATTCTATGGCATATACTGTAATCTCATGTAATTCGACACACTTTATAGCAGTGTTTTTCAACCTGTGGGTCGCAGGTAAAGAAAAAGACAAGTGTTTGTAGGTCCTACACTACATTAAAAAAACTACAATTTCAGCGAGAATTACGGCCCGCCCCAGAAAATGATAGCGGAAAAAGTGTTGAGCTGATTTGCAAAAAGAAATAAAAAGTAGAAAAGTAGAAGCTGAAAATTCAGATCCTAAAAAGAAAGGTCAACAGTTCCCTGTGCCTAATGTTATAATTAAAGGAAGTTTCATACTTTATGTGTGTTAAGTTATTGTCGATTCTTTTGAAATTTTCATTGTAATCAACAATAATTTGTCTCAACAGAAAGAAAATTAAATACATAGTTTTTAAAATCACTGATATAGTTTTAATATGGCCCTAGGGAGGGGGTCGCCAGAATTTTTTAACTTGTAAAGGGGTCGCGTATTCAAGAAGGTTAAAAAACACTGCTTTATAGCATATAACATGTAACGCTTAATATGACAAAGTCATTAATATAGGCTATAGGGCAATCGAGAGCTTGAACGGGGCCAGGAGCAGAGCGGGCCTCTTTTGCCTCTTAGAGAACCCCTTTAGTCTTTTGATTTTTGAAAAAATGAAATACGTAAATTGTTTTTTTATCAATAAAAATCTTTGCAACGAGTTTCCTGACTTTCCCGGCTGTTATAAGATTTTATTTTTAAAATAACATTTATATTATTAATCATACTAAATAAGCTTGTGATTATGAGATTTTGTTATAAAAACATTTTATACAATATTATTAATTATTATAAAATAGCAAAAGGCTTAATTTTGAGGGTAATGGTGAGTTTTATAGAAAAACTGTAAATGCTAATAACGAATAAAAATCTTCATTAAGTTCGATCCTAATCGAAATGTGAGACATAACACTCCTCTATCTCCTCACCCCATCGACATTTAACCGCTAAAATTTAATAGCTTCAATGCCCCTTACACAAAGCACCATGTAAAATTTCGTTTCTTAATCTTTATCTCATCCTGAGATATTAAGCAAAATATACGTCAACACACATACACACCACATCATATCCACGGAATTTTTTTCGTTTTTGATGTTTTGGGTCAGGGGATATCAAAACGTGGAGATTTGCGAGAGGGTCAAATTTGACACAATTCAAACACTTTCCCTTGTTATGTATCTGTTAGGCGCAAACACCGAAATCACTCATTGAGCGAAAAAATCGACCACAATGTATTCTGACTTCTCAGATACAATCAAAGTGCGAATTTCGTTCCGTGGCATTTTCAAAACTGCGCACAAGAAGCAAGAGTTAATGTTTTTTACATTTGACAGAAAAAGAAAGGGAGGAAAGACTAGAAAAACTTTGTACAATATAATCAGAGGTAACAACCAACAAGAGAAAATATGCAAATTCTGTCGTGAATAATTGTAAAAGATAGAGAATTTCTGCTGTCCAAAGATGTCCAATTGCACAGGAAATGAAACTAATTAATTTTTTAAATTTTTATATGTTTATTTCTCGTATTGAATGACTATTTCACAATTCGCTGTTAAAATATGCTGGTAAAGAAATTTAATATATGTAATCACATTGGATCCATTGCCTAATAAAATAGTTTAATATAGCTGGATAAGCAATATAGTCCAATTCAAATGAAACGGACTATGTCATTGGCTGGCTTATCCAGCTATATAAAAACCGCTTTACTGTGAAATGTGCCCACAGTATTATCAAATTTCAATTTCAATTATTTAATAAATTTACGATTTATAAATTTATGTTAATGCGTTAAGATATAATTTACAACGTTAGGATTCTGCATACTTAAATTTATGAAACGAAAAATTGTTCGATAAGTTTAAAAATTAGAAAGAATATTCGAACGTTTTAAATTCCAAATTCAAGTTCTTTAAAAATAAGTTAGAAAGTTAAACACAGAGTTTATCAAAATGATAAAGATTAGCGTCATTTTATATATATCTGGAATTTTTTACGAAATCGAAGCAAGCTTAAGTCAATTGTATAGAAATAGTACTATTGAAGAAAACAGAGAAACAAAATATAAAAAGCTGAACACAGATTTCAAAACTGTGGAGAAATTTTCTATGATTAAATATAATGGATTTACTCAGGACGAAGAAAATGGTATATTAAGTATGCATTCTTTGAGTAGATTCATGCCTCCTAATCAACCCCTTCCTTCTAATATGGTTAAACTGGTAAAATATATATCTCATTTTTTCACCAAAATTATTATGTAGATGCATGTTTAATTAAACTTAATTAGATATAATCTTTTATTATTTTCGTAAAGTTTAATATTAAATTCGATTTATTCGTTGCTTGCTGTAAATAAGCATAAAGACGCTTTACAGTTTTCTAAGTAACTAAAAAGAAATCTCTCAAATTTTATATTATTTTTATCGATTATGTCTGTTGGATTACATTTTAATCAACTTTATATATGTATACACATATTTAAATAGCACAATATCATTTTGCAATTAGATATGTAGGCCTACTGTACACAGGCATACATATCTAATTGCAAAATGATATTGTGCTTTTTAATGGTCATTTAATCACTGTAGAATCAATAAACTTCTTTTCTTTTTACACCGATGGCTGAATGGCGAGGTGGTTGAGGCGTCAACGTATTGTTCTGGGGGACTCGGGTCAAATTCGGGCGAGCAGTTTTCAAGGAATTTCTCATAGCGATCGTTTCCGAACACATCGAGTCTCGTTCGTCAATCGGCCTCATTATGAGTCTGGCCAAATTCACGATAGTGCATAGAAAAAAGGCCATAAGTTTTTTAACTTTCTGCCCTATGGGTAGAGTTAATAAACCTCTTTTCACGAGATAAATATATATTTATGATCTTTCCCTAACATAATACTAAATGTCTTCCAGGTATGGAATGAGGCACTAGCAAAAATAGCCAAAGACTGGGGTGACTATTGTACACTTGATTTTGGCCCTCGTGAATGCGAAAATATTTTTAGTCAGAACAGAGGGTTTTATAACGAATCCGGCTCTTTTGAAGATGTTTTGCGTACATGGTTTAATGAAAAATCTTATTACGTTTATGCCACTAACGAATGTAAACTGTCTTGTGACAGATACAAACTGGTAAGACGATGAAGATAAAACTCTAAATTGATTAAAGTTAATTGAATTAAATAATTGAATTTATTTTTAGATGGTTTGGGCTGAAGCTCATTCTATAGGCTGCTCGAAGTCAAAATGTAAAATAGAAAGAAGAACAAAGTATTTAGTGATATGTAACTATTATCCACCGTAAGTTTTTAAATATATATTTAAAAAGTTTTATAATATTTTATTCACTTTGGCGATTTTTACGAAATAAATCTGATTTCTTTAAGTATGAAAGATATGAGTATACGACCATACAAAAATGGGACTAGATGCTCTGGTTGTGATCTCACATTATATAAATGCGGTAGAGAATTTTGTGGTAAATACAATAAAATTTTTATATTAAAATTTCTTTATTTTCAAAATAAATTCTCCCTTTATTAAAATATGTAATTTTTACAGAAAAGAAAAGTATACAGATACCCGAAAAAGAACTTAGTGAATGCAACACGCTAACAACTACTATAGGACCTACAACAGAACATTATTGTGAATCCTACTGTAAAAATTATTGTAAGTCTCTTAAAAAGACAAGTAAATACTGTGAAATAGAATATAATATTGTAACTTTCGACACTTGCTAAGTATAATTTAAATTGAATTTTGTTTCCATAACTGTACACACATAACTTTTACATATACGTACAGTATATATATCACAGTCAAATTCCGATGCAATAGTGATTGTAGTTTTGCCCTAGAAAATCCAAAAAGGTAGCGAAATTAAAGTAATTTCTTGTCTCGAGTTTTGTTCATCATAGTTGGGTAAAGCACAAGATCGGCTTTACCCAGCGTTACAATCGCGTAACTAGCTCATGGTGGACAATTTTAGATTCACCCGAAGCGTCCGTCAAATATCTTTCTCGGAAAATCTGAAATATGGAATAGTAAAATATCTTATGCTACGAGGTAAAATCCAACCCTCGACACTTTAAAGAGCATTGTGGAATCCAAACGGTCGATTAATTAGTGTCATCTGCCAATCTTTAAATATGTTGTTACTAATTTGTTTCGCAGTATCTTAAATTGTGTTTTCTATTGTCTTGTCATCGATTATTCTTTATTAAAAAGTTTAGTATACAGTTATTTATCACCGTGTATAGAGTAATATTATTTGTGGAGAATTCTCACAAATTGCAACACAGAATGTGAAATTGGCACAGAGACGCAAAATGCCGGGGTCCAGCATTTCGCTCTCCAATAAATCGTATAAAAGTTTATTGTACTGCATTGAAAGTATGCGTAAGCCTATATTAAAAAATTACTTATTATAGTAAATTTAAAATTTTTGATTAAAAGAAGAAAAATATTCGCTTTTCTATTAAATAATATACATATAACTTATAAAAGTTTTATCTTTGCACTGAAATTTATATTGATTAACTCACTACAAACAAACGAAAGAATATGCAATAAAAGAATTGTAATACTAATCTTTCATAAATTTCAAGAATTCTATAATTTAAATGGCAAATGTAAGGAAAATTTTTAAATATTATTTACATGATAGATAATGTATAAATAATTTATAAACAAGCATTTAATATATTCGGAATACAGAGTAATTTCATTAATTATATATATATATATATAAATGGACGTGTGTGTCCCTATATTTCACTTTTCAGCCAAAACTACACATCGCACATGAATGGTGTTTGTATGTGGTAGTAGCCCCAAGTCTCCATTCGTGCACTATGGTGGTTGCGTCTCTCTAGCTATAAGGGTGCGGGAGATATGGGCTTGAAAGTGGTTGAAAGTGGAAGATTTTCTATTTCAATTTTAAAAATTTTCGAATTCGAATTTGTATTCGAATTGGTTCGATTATAGAACGATTGTAAAACGTTCCAGAAAATTGATCAAATTGAAAATATTTCGTTTGACTGGACGTAAAAATTCTCTAATTAGTCTGGAAACGGGGGACCTAATTCTTGCATTCTGTGAAAACGGGTAAGATTGGCTATAATGTAATTATCTTAATCTTCATTATCGTTACTTTTTGCCCAGCGAAGCGGGTCCTTGCAGCTAGTTTTTTAATATTTTCTCTTTAATTACAGATGGTGCTGGTTATCGAAACAACAACACGAAGTTATTACTATTCATCATTTTTATCTCTTATTATTTATAATATTATGCAAGAAGACAAAATTTGAATTTGTTTAATTCAGCATCGAATTGTTGATATTGTTTGAAATATTCATCGATATTTATTTTAATTTTTTAATATTTAAAAATAAAACTCGTATAAAAAAATTATATGTACATTTTTTTAAATGATAAAAGCAACAAATAGAAATATTAATGTAATAGGGTGGAGCCAAAATTAATTTTAATTAGAAGTTTTTTGTGTGTTTTTTCTAGTTGTATTAGGGCAAGATATTTATTCTAAGTAAAAGTAGATAAAACTAATACTATTTTAATTTTTATGATGAAATGAAGATTAACATTTACAAGAAATATGATAAAAATTTTATTGCTAAATGTAAATACAAATATAAAATATATTAAAAATTATATTATCTACAGCATTTCGACCACCAGTGGCCGAGTGGATAAAACTAATTAACGTGCTAACCACTTCACTTTAACCACTTAACCACTTCAACCTGACTACCCTGGTAGTTGGTGAAGTGGTAGTAGTTGTGCCTCACCATCGGGCTGGACGCATGGAATTTTGTGTTTTCCTAATGTGTCTAACAACTGAATAAGAGATAGTTTTTCATAGTTCTTTCAAGAGACCTATCTTCATTGGCGAATCGCTTGTTTCCCATAAATCTAATGTATAGCATTTCATCTGAAATTATAAAAATAGAGAGGAAATTATTAAAAGTGAATTAAATATAAATTCCCTGCAAAAAACACCGTAATAACGCGTAAAAATTAAAGTATTTTTTACTCTCCATAATTTTAAGATTAAAGTAACAAAGATTAAAGTAACATTGAAAACAAGAAAAGTACGGATAAGAGAATTATTTTTAATTTTTCCATTTTCGCTGTTCATTTTTCACTTTCAGTTTAAATAGTCTTTATAGTTTCCAACAACTCATTAAATTTTTAAATATTTATTAATTCTTCAAGAAATCTACAAAACTTTCATCAAATGTATTGAAAAGAATTTCTTAACTTCCAAGTGGCGAAGAAAAAAATCATGTGATCGTATTTATAATCAGAAGAATATTTGTAAACGTAATTTAAATAATTTGCCTGTTTTGATATTTAATGAGAACGAAATGTTATATATTGCGAGAAAAATTTCAAAGTAGCGCCTTCTAGTAGTTGAATTACGAACAAAGAAGTTAACAATAGAAATTAATAGCTGATGACACTAGATTGCATATTAAGCTATTATTTAACGTATTAAATAACTTTATACTTTAAAGCATTTTTAAAAAGTTTTAAATTAAAAAAATTGTAAAAATCATGTGGAGCGATAATCTTAGTTGTACTAATGACAAATGCCAATTTGTGGCGCTTAATGCATAATGTTTTAAATGGTTGCATTTTTCGTTTTTTTTGACTCGATCCACAAATGCTATATTAATTAATATTACAAATATTTTTTTATAATTTGAAAAAATTATAATTTTTATCAATATTGAAGGTTCAGAATTTAGCACATTTTACACAATATATTATGACTTCTTTGTATAGACTATCTTCAACCGACGTACCACTTTAAGGATGCGCAAAATATAGTGCTGAACTTCGTCATTACACTTTTTACATGTATTACTACAAGTACGAAAATGCATTAAGTATATTTATAAAGAAGTAGGAGAGATGTGCCAAGGAAAAATCTAGGTTGATATGCAACTATTAGGAAAAGGTTATGAAACACTGGTATAAACTAATACGAGCTGTATAAATTGCTAATACAGAGTAACATTAATATTACTTATTATTCTGCAATCATACTTTAGAAATTGCGATAATTTAGTACGAGATAATACGAAGTGGACCTTATCTTTAATTAATTTGAATGAAAATGAAATAATTTAATGATAAACTGAACGATATTTGTAATTGTTATGTTAAATTATGTTAAGTGTTAAATATATAACTTTAATTATATAAATTTCAAATATTATTGCATTTGAATCTCGTTTCAGAAAATGATATGAAGTACGTTTTAACTTTATGATTCTTAATGAAAATACATGAAAAACGGAAAGTAATTTTATTATAATGTTGCTGTTTTGTGAGCTTTATGTAATGTATAAGACCGATTCAATTTTTGCTTATTTTGAGCAAGTTAAAACTGCATTGGTGTCAACTGATAAAGGCGAGAGACAAGAGCGATATTCGACTTGAACTATTGCAATAAGTTAAAAGAATATGGATTAGATTAAGTATATTTTAATCATCTTATAATTTCCATTATCAGGAAATATGATGATATGAAAGAAATCAAATATAAAAAATAAAAAAAAACTTTTGTTTCTTCTTTAAATCTTAAGTGTCTTTAAATCTTTCTGTATCACGCATAAAACAGAATTCGAACAATAATATTTTTCTGTTGATTAAAACGGATTTTGTTTATGAATGAACAATATAGCTATAAAACAATCTTTAATATTATGCTTAAATATATATAAAAATTTGAATTTATTAGTGTTACTAACAGATATTTCTATTTCTATCGTCTTATAAACTACTGTTAATTAAAGTATTTTCGTGAAATATTTGCTAATATTTTAAACTTAAATAAATAGACGAATTGCAAATTACCCATTAACTAATTATGCCTGTGCGATTTATTTACACAAATAAATGAATTAAAAATTTAAATAATAAATATTAAATGAAATTATTAACTAAATAAGTTATTGGAGTGATCGAGAAATTGCGCACATCGAAATATTAGTTCGTGTAAATTGTGTCAAGTTAATTTTATTATGTCTCTCGCCACAGGATGACACTATAATGACTGCTGACTATTAAAAGAAACTTCGACTTTTGTGTGAAAGTCATAAAATTGCTGCTGTACAGCTTTGTTCATTAAGAAAGTGAAATGGTTTTACTCAGGAACAACGAATTTTCATTGTTGAACATCATTTTGTCAGTCTCTCTTATGCACGTATTGCAAACGAGTTTTATGTGAAATATCCAAATTCTGCAATTCTTGCGAGAATTCTTTGATAACCGTCTTATTTCTAAGGAATTGTGACCGCCACAATTTCCAGATTTGTCACCTCCAGATTTTTTCCTTTGAGGTACCCCCATAGGTAAAAATCTGGGGTACCTCAAAGGAGCAGTATATAGAAATAATCCACACAATAGCTGATCTAAAGAGGAACATTATATCAGCGATTACACCATCAGTTTTAAGGTTTTAAGAGACTGACAAGATGGCATCAAAGATGATAAAAATTGCTCACTCTTGCATTAATGAACGAGGAAACCATTTCGAATATATCAATATGTTGTAATGACATGAATTGATTTTCTTTTCTTAAAGATCAGATTATAATCACTACCTGCTGTAATTTCGTACAGAAAACTTCACAAAATAAAATTGATTCTTAACACATATGTGCATGACTTTTCGATCATGCTGTAGACTATAAGACAATTAAGTTCAATAAGTTTTGGAGGATCCGAGTATTCGAAATATTCGAATTGGAAAAAAGTAATATTCATCCATCTCTAATAAAAGTACCATCCATCCGTATTAGCATTAAGAGTAAATCGTGAAATTTCTACGAATATATTATTGTGAAAAAACACTGCTGTCTCTAATGGAAAGCAAGAAAAGCAAGAATTTTATTGCAAGAAACAAACATTTTTGTTTTTAGAACGAATTAATGAAAAGTAAGGATAAAGGTCGGAATCCTAAATCACATACTGTACTTTGTAGAAATGTCTAAATTGTAGATCTGTTTGGTAGTTAATTAGAACTAAGGAGCGTTATTATATTTATATAGGATGATGATGATGATGATTATCATTTTGAATAAAAAGGGGATAAATTACGTAGCGCAGATATGAGTGGGTGGATATACAAGTAACCGTTGCGATGCTGGATAGTGCGGTGACAGAGGTAGGTGTAGTGGCATGGTCTGTAAATCGAACATGTGATGTTTGTGAAAAATATAAAGGTTATATATTTCACAAAGGATATCTTTATACTTTAATTAATTAATATACGGGAATCTTTTTCACCAAATGACGATAAGTTCTTAGATTTAGTTATAACTTTCGTTGTTTAATTTGCCGAAGAATGAACACGGAAAAAGTGTTACATGATGAATAGTACTATTTATATCACTGCTTTGTGCTTTTTAATTATCCTTTGAGATATTGGTTAGTTGGTGAATAGTCTATTGATAAGCCCTCTACCAGAGTCTATTCTGTTATTTTTGACCGATTTCAAGTTAGACTCATTATTCAAGCTTCTATAGTATTATATACAAGTTGCCCGCTAATCTTAACTTAAAATTTTCGAGGCTACACCAAACGTAAGCCTGGGTAAAATATTCTGCAAGTCAGAAACAGAAACATTCGATTTTTACAGCGTAAACAACACATATAGCAAGCGTGGCTTTCAATTGCCACAATATATTAATAGGAGGCGCTAGATTTTAGCTTATACAGTAATCACCCTCATTTACCCTATGTAATCTATATATATAAAAATGAATGTATGTGTCTGTGTGTGTGTCTGTCCTTCATGCATTACCACACCGTTTATCCGATTGCCGTGAAACTTTGGGAAGTTGTTTAATATACTTCGGCAAAGGTTTGTGGCATAGTACAATTGTCATAAAACTTCGGAAAGTTTTTAAATACCCACCCGCGACGGTTTGTCGCATAGTACATTTATCCTACGATAGATGGCGCACGTTTACACGAGCATTCGAGCAGTGTGTTCGATCGATTTCAAATTGTAAAGACCATTTCCCCCTTCAAAAAATATTTCTATATATGCGTTATTATATATAGCGTTATATATATATATATATATATATACTATATATGACGATATTAGTAATAATGTTTGTTTAATCACTTTATTTCAACTTTTTTTTGCTAATTACGTATTCGCTCGAACTTTGTTAAAACTTTAACTGTATCCCGAACAACAACCGAAGTTGTAGAAGGAAATTCGCCTATTTTACCGATCTAGGGATCCCCTTTTCCAAATTTTAATATCATCTAATAATTTAAAAAGACAAATTACAATAAAACGGTTTATTATCCAACTATCAGAAATTTCACAACATGCCAAGGAAGAGAGGAAGGAGCAATTAAATAATTAAAATTATAAAGGATTTAAAAATATATATAAAAATGGGGAATATCGCACTTCTGACAATCGCAGCGAGTGTGTGGGCTAAATTTGGAGAATCCGTGCTTCTCGCATGGACAACTGTATGTGGCCGGCTCACGCGTCGAAAAACCTTCCGATTTATTCGTGTACGCACCAGACGGAAAAACAAAAAATATCGTGTATCCACAAACACTCCAATAAATAAATAGAATTGAAACGACACTTTGAAATGTTTTCCCGATGAAAATGAATAATAATAATAATAAGTTTCAATAAAAATAATAAAATGTAAATTGAATTTTATCATAACGAGTTTCCTTGAATTTCCTTTCTTCTGAGATCGCAGCAATGCGCGACGGGTAAGCTAGTTAAATTAATAAAATATGTAACGTTCAGTACCCCTTCATGTGTATTATTTCTTAGTACAATTAAAATAAAGGATATGCGTTACGTAATTTCGGGGTAAGATGGTTACAGAGCGTTACGAAACACTACCGAGGGATGGTAGTTGAAAAGTATTAAAATAGTATTAAAATGTAACAGTTTGATATCGTATTGACGATCTCAAACTGTTACATTTTCTTCTATAATTATAAAAAAATATAAAATATATTAATTAAGTTAACTGTATTTTATATATATTTTGTGCAATTAAAAACATTAGGAATATATTTTTAAACGTTCAATTAACTAAAAATATTCACAAAACGTTATCAATTAGATTTTACCTGTGTCGCCATCTGTTATGAACTTTCAAAAGTTTTAAAGCAATACAGTACTGTATTCATCTTTTTAATTGAATATTTATTAATTTATTATTTTAAAAATCTTTTAATTTATTGTATAAAATATTTTTTCCAGCCAGGATTTCAGAGTTAAATTTGAATTTTAGTTATCTTAGAAATAATTTAAAAATATTTTATTATTATTATTATTATTATTATTATTCAAAAAAGATAGAAGTTTTCCTTACATGAAATAGATTTTAAAATAACTTTTTGTATATTTTAGGATGTATCTAGTATTATATTGTTATGAATGTTAAAAAATATAATATATTAAACACGCTTTGCTATAAAAATAGATGGTCGAGTCAGTTTATCATTCCGGGGTGGCTTGTAATCGAATTCCAGGAATTTTTCGGGAGTGATCTGCTCCGAATAATTCCGTCCGTTCTTCACCATTCGGCCGTTCTTCATCATTCTGTCTTTACATTGTGGACGTAGTGAAACCCATGATGGTTATGATTAAAAGACTCTCTATGGATACTAAGAGGGTCTTTTAATATATTTTTTCCGGGCATTAAAATATTCTGTATAAAATCTCGAAAAAATGCTTATTAAATATCTCAAAAAATGTCAAGGATAATAAAAACTTTTATTTACGAAAATTTGAAAAGATTAGTTGCGCCTAGTTATCCATTGAATTGTGCTTGCAACATTAATATTTAACACAAATATATTTTTTTACATGCACATTTACGAAAATGTGATTTTAGAATATTTTCTTTTCCGTTTACTCACTTAAATTTAATATCCGAATACGATTTTATCATCTTGAAATGTGTGCAATTCAGTGTCTACACAACTATTATCGTGAATTATATCCATTAAGAATGAGAAACTGTCTATCATATTATAACAGTCTACTATCAAAACATCATTAGAATTGTAAATATTTAAATGATTTGATTAATGCTCACATAATCCATTATCAAAAGATAATATTTGCAGAGAGAAGTGATTAAATAAATTTTTTAAAAAGTTATGGTTAAATGTAAAATTGCGAAATTTTTAAATTAATAATTAAGTATATAAAGCCTTCATTATTTATTAGTTAGATTGTATTAATATATCAAATACGACATTGATAGATGGTTGAAGTATGAAGAGAATTTCATCACTGTAGTTTACATCGATCGTTTCGGTCACGAAACTCATATATTTTATTTAGTGTGTACAGATAGTTTAAATTAGGTATGAATTTTTAGATGTAAATATTTAATTTTATTTCAAAATATTCAAATTTAAGAATGATGTCAAGTTG